TCTATATCTATATCTATATCTATATCTATATCTATATCTATATCTATCATACTAATTATATAAAGAGAAGTCCCTTTTTTTGTAACAGGTAATCTCGCGAACGGCTGGTCCGATTTTCATGAAATTTTGTACACAAATAGCTTTCGGTAACCACCATGTTTTAGGCTAAAAAAATGTTACTTTTTTTTGGGTAGGTGGACCAGGGACCGGTCTATTCGAAAAAATCTTATTATAGTCCGATTTGCTTCATAATTTAGTACGTAAGTAGCTTTTTAGCATATATTAGCATATATGACTCATTTCTTTCCGGGAAGTGGTCCAGGGACCGATCTATTCGAAAAAATCGAATTTACGGTCCGATTTGCTTAAAATTCGGTGCGCAGGTAGCTTTTTAGCATATATTAGCATATGTGATAAATTTTTTCCGAGAAGTGGACCAGGGACCGATCTATTCCAAAAAATCGTATTTATGGTCCGATTTGCTTAAAATTCGGTGCGTAAGTAGTTTTTTAGCATATATTAGAATATATGGTCAATTTTTTCCGAGAAGTGGACCAGGTACTGAGATATTCGAAAAAATCGTATTTACGGTCCGATTTGCTTAAAACTCGGCACTTAGGTAGCTTTTTAGCATATATTAGCATATATGATCCATTTTGTCCGAGAAGTGGACCAGGGACCGATCTGTTCGAAGAAATCGTATTTATGGTCCGATTTGCTTAAAATTCGGTACATAGGTAGCTTTTTGCCTGGATAAGCTTATAGATTCCTGTTTTCCAATTTTCATGCAATTTCGAATATAAATAGCTTTAAGTAACGACCATATCAAGAGGCGAATTCGTCACTAGGCACGATTTTTTTGCGCCAATCAGAAACAACGGATACTGTCAATATATAATTATAATATATAATATATCTCAACTAATATATATTTAGAAAGCCGTTTGTTAGTTTTCGCAAGGCTCGAGAGCGGCTGAACCGATTTTTTGGAAACTGCCACCTGCCGCACGTGTCCCAAGGATGGTTTTAGGCTCAAAAAAATCTATATGTAAAGGGGGCGTGGCACTTCCCATACAAACCGAATTTCTCATGCTACATATCTCTGAAAGTGTGCATGGTAGAGTTTTAGAAATTGGTATGAGATATACGAAATCAAACGCATACCCTTGGAGAAAAATTTTAGCTATTGTAAAAAGGGGTGTGACATCTCCCATACAAACCGAATTTTTCATACTGCTTATCTCTGGAAATTTTTTGGTAGAGTTCTAGAGTTTTGTATGTAGATGTACGAAATAAATCGCATACTCTTGGAGAAAAATTGGAACTATTGGAAAAGAGGGCGTGGCATCTTCCATACAAACCGAATTTTTCATACTGCCTATCTTTGGAAGTGTACATGGTAGAGTTCTGGAACTTGGTATGGAGATATACGAAATCAATCACATACTCATGAAGAAAGAGGGCAGCTGTTGGAAAGGGGGGCGTGGTACCTCCCATATAAATCGAACTTTTATACTGCATATCTCTGAAAGTATTCATGGTACAGTACCGGAACTTCGTATGGAGATATGTATATAGTTGAAATCAAGCCCATACTCATGGAGAAAATTTGGGCTATTTGAAAATGGGGTGTGAGGCCTACAAACCTACCGACCTTTAGCTATCTTTGAATGAATTTTTTTATTCTTCTGTAGGTGTGTTTGTGAGTGAAATCCCCCTAAATGGTTGTACGGATTTTAACGAAACTTTTTGTGTATTTGAGTGGGTCTCTGGATGGTTTAGTTTCACAATTTAATCCGACAGTTGGCGCTGTGCCAAGTGGTGCTGAAGTCGAGCTATTACTAAAAATAGCCAAGTGAGAAAAGGGGCCGTGAAGGTCAGATTAAATCGACCTGTTGCACCTTTGAGTACATCGAACGCTCCTGCGTTGCAATTGGCCCAATGGATGTGATTTTCCAATATTATTATGCGTTCAAACTTTTAAGGTATTTCGTCTGAAATAAGTATATGTATATTGCATTTCTGTAGAACAATGATTCGCACCCATTTTGAAATTGCCACCTACTATACTGTAAAGCTTCTAGGACAGATTCACTATAGTACCGGGTCATTGTTGCCGCCAGGGAGTGAAAATGAAATGCCGAACAACTGGAGAATTTCAAGAACGGATATACCACTTTCCTTAGGTTATTTAAAGCGGCAAATGACCACCAAACCTTAATCTTAGCAGACAAATGTGCCAATGAAAATCGTAAACGTGAATTGTTGGTGAAAATGTTGGACCAAAAAGTTTCAATAAAATATATAAAAATTTTGGGCGGGACGAAGTTCGCCGGGTCTGCTAGTCTTAAATATATACTTACAAAAACCCAAAAAAACGCAAGAGAAATTTTAATTTATTCGTTCGAGTCGGAAATTTCGAAAATAATGTACTAGGAGGTAATTTAAGGAACTGTAAGCTTCTGTGAATCTGGCAACACTGCTACGAGTATAACAAGAAAACAATCTGAACTAAATTTCACTATTACATTATTCTTATTTTGTTCATGATTGAAGAATTTTCTTGTCCCAGCTTTCTATAATATTTTTAAGATTTTTTTTATAATACACCCCAAAAGTTTGTCAACTTGCACAACCTGCTTGTTTCCATCAGCACTCATTCCACTCAAAATTATTTCACTCTTTATGTGACTTTTTCCAAATTTCGCCTTTTCACTTTTATTTTTTTTTTACAGCACTTAATTGCTTCCATTTGCTCTTCATGGTGGTTCTACCGGCTTTTTTAAATTTTTTATAGATACATAGAGTTATCACACTAATACCACATACCGTCCATCTTGGTTTCCAGATATGTATGTGTGTATTTTATTCTTTTAGTTATGCCTCACGAATTCTTCAGCTGCTTCTTAAGGATTTTTTCTTCGATCTACATATCTATGTATGTATATATGTATGTACATAGTATTTCTTTTTACCGCATTTCCTGAGGCAAAGAAAAAATCACAAAAACGCAGTCAAATAAACCAGCAGCCAACCGACAAGTCGCTTCCTTGCAATACGACAACTTCGCCACAAATTGAGGCTTTTTCAGGTGTAATGTTGCTAATGATTTTTTTTTTATCAGGAAGGGCGGTGGTATAGTTGTTGATTGCAAAAGCTGGTTGTAGCGGCAACTGACTCTCACGACATAGAATTAAAAAACATATATAAAAAAACTATAAATAAAAGAGACAAACTCAGTCAAAATGTCGCAATTCTTTTATTTTATGGACCACTATATGTATGCACATTATACTGCATCACTCCCCATACAAAAAAAAATCGGTACAAATTCTATTGGAATTATAAAATATATTATATTTTAAGACAACCACCAAAATATTTCGGAAAAATATTAAGATTTAAGCGAGCTGGATCGATTTGAAAATATCCCCAAAAATGGAGTTTTTTATTAATAAAAATAGTTTCTTAACATTTTTTTTTGGAAAAATCCCCTCAAATGACAAATCGGTTTAAGCTTAAAAAATTTTCATGAAAATATTAAAAAAAAAAATAATGATATTTTTGATGCTGTTTTTGTAAGCTTTTATTTTTAACTTTTTTTAAAGGTTGGTATAAGAAAAACTTGAATAACTGAACCTAAGCTCCTCCGATTTAGCCTTAAGAGGTATCATTGGAAAGTTATTTTCTCATCCTTTTTATTTCTTTGCTAATAAGCTCATTCAAAGGATGAAAGAGAAAGGTAGGATGAACGTGCATCATTCAAAGTTGAATTAAGATGTTTTGGCATTTGAAAAAAAAGGGACACGAATGACTTTTTTTGCAAATAAATAAAAATATTGGGAAAATACCTTTCTACCGAGATCCCACATTTCTAAATCAGAATAGTTTTGGCCCAGTTATTTAAGTATTTCGTTAATCAATCTTTGAAAAAAGTAAAAAAAAACAGCATCAAAAATCTCATTATTACGATTCCGTTGAAAAGTTTTTTTAATGTTTTTATGCAGATTTTTTAGGCCTAATTTGGTTTGTCATCTAAGGGGACTTTTTTCAAAAAGTTCTTTAAGAAACTATTTTTATTCATGAAAAACTAAATTTTTGGAGATATTTACAAATCCGTCCAGCTCGCTTAAATCTTAATATTTTTCCGAAATATTTTGGTGGACGTCTCAAAATAAAATAAATTGTGTAATCCCGGCGGAAAAACCGCAACTTATTTTGGTGATGCGGTCTAATATATATACATATATGTGCATATATAAAACAAGATTAAAAAAATGTAATAAATAATAAATTAGTGAGGAGGGATAGAAATTAAAATGCTATTTCTGTGAGAAAAGAGTCAGCTAAACATATTTCTTTCAACACAAGATTTGGTAGCAATAACTAATCGGTTATCGGTTGATACCAATCGCAATCGATAGGTCCCACAATAATACATATAGGTATGTAGGTTAGGGTGGTTCAAAAATTGTTCTATATCGAAAAAATATACCCCTTTTTCATTTCGAGATCAAAAAATATTTAGAGGCCGCTCAAAGCGCTCAAAGTTTTTCAAGTATTTTATATAGGGAAAACTACTTTTTCGTACAAATGGTATAGAACGCTTGAAAATCAATATTTTTCGATCAGAAAACTCGGTTGTTGTTTTGGGATTTTATATGTCAGGGCCTTTTGTTCAATGTCTGATTAGCACAAATCGGAGGTAGAAGATCCGGTTAAATACAACGACCGTTTTATCGATTACATGTTATATGCATGATGTCGATAACGCCGATAATGAACAACCGGCCCTAAGTTTTCGTTCGAGTTCGGGTGTATGAGGAATCCTTTTTACATAATCGCGCAAGATATGTGTAGATAGATGTAGATACAATTGTAGTTTATATCCTTAATTTTGCTTACTTAAGTATAAGTGCATACCTACATATTTCCTACATACATCCATCATAGCCTAATCTTTTTTCCGTTTTATTTTTATTTTCCAGGAACCCAAAGCCAAACAAGTATGTAACGCATGATTTTATTCTATTTTAGTTAATATACAATATCATACTATATTAATTAATTACGAGTGGATAATATCTACAATCTCAAAGTCGTAATACTGCGGTTGAATTATATTTTAAAAGGTCTTACAAATACACGATAATGCTAACAAACAAAACTTTAAGAAATTCATCCGATCATAAATAAATTCATCTGATCATAAATAATATAATTTTATTCGTACGCATTCTGATCTCACATCCATCCGTTGAGTATTTAGATTATTTATCAAATGTCCCAAATATACATATAATATATATATAATATCTTGCGGCAGGCAATTTTGCACACAAAAAAAAAACAATATATTCGTCAAACCAAGGGCCAAATATAGTAAAATTGCGTTCTTAATTTTTCTCTGACGTCAGGATTTTTTTTTAAAGAAATTTGAAATTTGAAAGATATATGTAAGTAATTTAAAAATTGCAATGTAATATACTTAAAAAACCCGTATGGGTATCAAATGAAGGAGAAGATTCTGTACAGTTAAAACACATTACATATTTTGGTGCGTAAGGGACGGGTAGGCATTGAAAATACCCTTTCATAATTTTTTCCTTGAAATCCTTGAAATTTTTCAATACCTAATGTTAAAAAAATTGTATGTTAAGAAATAACTTTATTAGCTTAAAAAAATAAAATAGATTAAAGGGGTATTTTCAATGCCTATTCGTCCTTGTGAACCCAAAAAAATTATTTCATTTGGTACCCATACTTTCGTTTTACATTGCACTGAATTTGTTAAAATAAATTTTGGAATTAACCATATATTTGAAATCATAAGGAGCCCCAACCGCCAAAGTAACGTAAGTAACATTTTTTCAAAATTGTCGATGTAATGCAGAAGAGCATCTAGATGCTCTAGGAATATTTCTACATCAAAAAGAAAATTTTGAAAAAAACTGTCGCTTAAGTTATTTTGGCGGTTGGGCCTCGATAAAGTCTTAAAAAAAAATCATGACGCCAGAGAAATGCCCATTTATATGCAGTTAATTACGTGTAATATGAGGTAGACTTTTATAAAAAAATTTAAATTTTGGATAAACAAATGGAATATAGACAAAACTGGTCGAATTAAGGCGCTTCTTTCATTCCTGCCACTAGCATTATGAACTTCTTTCAACCAGAAAATAAATTTTTTTACTTAATTTTTTTTTGCATCGAGCTTTTTTCAGCATACCTATAATTACTTTATCAGATATGTACACACTAATGTATTATTAAGTGCATATAAATTTAATTACTCTCTCGTTTATTGTCTCTCGTTTTGTTACTTATGAAATAATTTTCACTTTAAATAAAAAAATGTGTTCCAAACCCATTTACTTATTATTTATTATATGGTACGAGAGCTTCTCAAACCGCATTGATTCAATTTTTTCATGCTAAGCGTTGAAAAATAATAAATATCTAAATCCCGGGACTGATCCCGGGATCCCGGGACTGAACCAACGACATCTCGAAAATCCCGGGATCGTACAAATCGAAAAAATTAACATCCCTAATATATATGTAGATAGGCGCCCGGTTTAATTGCGCAGCTACGCTTGCGATGGTAACTCTGCGAACTCTCATACGACTAGGTTAAGACGGGATGGAATTCTGGATGGACGAATCTGACGTCCGTTTTGCTCCATCAGGTCACGTCAAAAAACATCTCCGATTTTACGTGACAGAGAAAATGTAAATGTGTTATCAATTACACGGGTCCATAAAAAAAAAAAACGATGAAAGGTTCCTTTGACCAAACCTAGTCTATCATATCGTCGTTTAAAGTACAAAACCGCGTATCGTCATTCTGCAAAACCACGTAACGGACATTGGCTGCCAAAAATTGGATTTGCTCACACAAGCTCTTGGCTCAATCCTTATCCATTCGTCCTGAAATATACTAGCCAGAAATGCGATTGCTTTAGAAAAAAGAGAACCATTTTGAAATATGAGTGTTTTTTCTATTTAGAAAATAATTTACGCAACTTCACATACGCGCTTTTGCATTTTGTTGATACGCGGTTTTGTACTTTAAACGACGATATTCAATTGAAACAAGTAATATTTATCAAAAAAAAAAAAACGACTTCAAGTCTCATATAAAAAAAATATATGTATATATCTCATGATCCACTGATCGGATCTTAACCAGAATAGTATGGGACCACCCGAGACACTACCTTTCCGATGCAAAAAGAATTATCGAAATCGGTTGACGTGGTCAAAGTTATGCGGTAACATACACACACAAAAAAAACAAAAAAAAAAATATTCCGACCAACTGATACCCCCTCCTTTTTTGGAAGTCGGTTAAAAAAATAAACAGTTGACAAATATCTTTTACCAGACGCTTAGCTAGGGTTCTCTACAAAAACATATCTGCGTTATGTAAAAGTATGTTCTTACTTACCAAATTCACGCGTACCAGCATTTTTTTTATTAATTGCTATATTTCTGGTATTTAACAACTTACTCATATTATTCCACTAGCTGAATGACAAGGTGTTAGAATTATATGAAATTCTCCAATGAAAACCGAGAATCAAATTATCAATATTATGTGCTGCCTTTTGCGTTGGGTAGTATGGATATGTATGAATATGACTACATAAATATGTGCATACATATAAACGCATGTACTTATGTATGCGCAAACATTTACATACTTACACGTGTACATACATATGTATACACATAGATATGCACGATTCCAAACCCACGCGACACGACCACAAGATGGCTTCCCATTTCTTCATGGCGAACACATGAATTTCACTTTTTCACAGAATTTCTTAGCAGCAATGAAATAAAATCGCACTATTTATATTTTTTATTACCACTTGCACTTTTAATGCTATTGCACATTGGAATACAAATTAAATAAATTATTTTAACACTTTTGCACAATATTTTCCTGCTTATCGGATTGAACTCGCGCACCGCACGAACTCAAATATATCCGCGGCAAAGGTCTACTGAATGTTGAAAGTAAACCTACACTCTCAATCCATCACAGCTAATTTGCAATTTCCAAATATGTATTTATTTTTCCAGGTCCTCACTTTGAAAAGAGTTTGAATGAAGATAACACACTGGAAAACTCTCAATTTGCTAATTTGGAAATTGATTTTGCGCTAACCGATTGCACAGCAAAGAAAGCATTTCAAGAGCGCATGAAGAATGCACTGGAAACGGAAATGAACTCTCACTCATAGAGAGGTGGAGAGTATGTATGCGTTTGTGTTTCCGCTTAAATAGAAGAGTCAGCTACATAGTAAATACATACACACTTGATACAAAGGTACTAGAGCTGTCAAACTATCGACGATACTATCGATAGTCTGGTCACTTGAAATAACTATCGATAGTTTTAGTACTATCGCCCCTATCGTTTCTCTTTCCTAGCGCTTTTGATATTTGCACGTATTTATTGGTTCAAAAAGAACAAAAAATTGGCAGCATTATTTCATGAACGAACGAATAAAGATTACCCAGGACGGTGTGCGAGAGAAAAGTATTTTTTTGCAGTGACGTCATTTTTTCGCCGCCATATGTATGAAACGGAATGAAACCATGTGTGTGAATGAAACAACCGATTAAAAAATTACGTTATCAACCATTTTTTTCTCAAATGCAATTGCAAATACGCGGTTGCCGTGCTGGGTGATCTGTTTAGTTGGTTCATGGCATTATTTCTAAAAAGCGCCATTTTTTATTTTAAGCGTGGAAATAGCAGAGGTTACATTGGCATCTTAAGAGCGTGTCAGACCGGGCAATGCAGTATATTTCAAAAGAGGCTGCGTTCAGAAATGCATCAAGCCAAAGCACCAGTCTCTTTTATTTCTAAACTATAATTGATAAAAATGTCAAATATGCGCCACCACGGTTATAAGCCGAATTGGAACTTAGTTGCGTAAATAAGACATTTCCATCAATTATAGTTTAGAAATAAATGTTAGAAAATAAATAGATGCTTTGACTTGATGCATTTCTGAACACACCTACACTGTCAAATTGAGAAATTGCAGAAAGCAATTGCATGAGCCGCGGCACCTTGCGTGTTAAGTGTCTTTCGAAAGAAATTTGTTTATTTCCGAAAGGCGAATTGCAGCGAAAATTTCTGAAATCGCGTTTTGACTGTTTACACGTTTACACGGCGAATGAATTTCTAGGAATATTTCTCGATACTAAAATGCAAACCGTGAGCCGCTAAAATAAAAAAATTTATAAAAGGAAGATAACTAAAAATAAATGGATTTAGTAAAACACATGAAATGGGTCGATACTATCGATAGTATCGATAGTCACCCTTAAGACTATCGTAAAACATCGATGGACTCGACTATCAATAGTTTGACAGCTCTAAAAGGTACATATGTTGACGGCAGGTACGTTATTTTTAAGGTTTCGAAAATCTCGGGATTCTTGGCAAATAATCCCGGGATTTTCGGGATTTATAATTTACACTGAAGGCAGTAATAGAAACTTCTTTTCTTGACCAATATTGGGTATATTTCTTTTGTGATAACGACATCCCGAAAATCTCGGGATCCCGGGATTAGTCCCGGGATTTAGATATTCATTACCCTTCAACAACTTAAATCGAAAAAATTGCTTCTATATAGTTTGAGAAGCTCTCCTACCATAAAATAAATCAGAAATAATTGGCTTTGAGACCTGATCTGTTATTTAAAGTGGCGTTTTCCAAAAATTACTTAAAAAATGCAATGCAATGTAGAATAAAAATATGGGTACCAAATGCAAGAGGAAATTTCATTAGAATTACAAAAAAAAAATTGTTGGATACACTAGGACGAATAGGTAGTTTTTTAAGCTAATAAATTTAGAAGCGAATTCGAGGATGTTATCGAGATTATATAAGTCCTTAACATATAATTTTTTAAAAAACAAATATTGTGAAATTTTAAGGATACAATTTTGAAAGGACGTTTTCAATACTTACCATTCCCTGTGCACCAAGAACTTAAATCTATTTAAATTCTACAGGATTTCCTCTTTAATTTGATACCCGTACTTCTTCTCTAAGCACATTTACTGACGTCAGAGTGAGACTAATAAT